GGTCACGCCTGCCCCACATTCACACGTGCGCTGGGCCTGGCCCGGAGAAGCGCGCGGGGCGAGCGCGAACGAGGCCCGTCCGGGCGGCGGGGGCAGAATCAGGAGGACCTCGGGGAATTCTGGGAGTTGTGGTCCGACCCGCCTCGCGGGCGCCATGTTGGCAGACGGGGCCCACGTGGAGCAGCCGCTTGGCCTGAGGACGCCGGTTTGAGGGGAGTGCGGGGCGAGGACCCCACGACAAAACACCGGGGTGACAGAAACGCGCATGCGCACTCCCCAACTGGGGAAATACAATCAACCGACTCCCCGCAAACACCCCACACTCTTCGTCCCGCTTACCAGCACGGCTTCGCGCTCCTTGTCCGAATTGCGCCTGCGCAGCGGGGTTCCCCCCCCCCGCTCCTATATGCGCGCTCTAACGTCAGCAGGGAAGAGCGAGGAGGACGCGGCGAGGGCGGGCTTTGTTGCCGAGGCGACAGGCGTGAAGGACGGGATTGGCGGTGGCCCTCGTGATCAGCGCCGATTGCCCCGAGGCCTCTCGTTTGACATTTTGGCGGGAGAGTTAAAAGAATCAAATGCATGTTCGGTTTCTGGGCGATTTCCTTGATCACAAAACGTTACAAGGCACTGAGTTAGCTTGGGATCCGGGCTTCATTGAGAGGGTTCCGGGTTTCTGGGAACCTGCCCTCAAGGCGTACGAATACAAGAGCAAAGGAAACACAACAGGACCCAAACCATGGCTTGTCTAACCATGATAGTGTTCCCACAATGTGGTTTGTCTAACCATGATAGTGTTCCCACAATGTCTGAAGCCATCAGTCCAGTTGTGGTTTACAAACCATGGTGGCCGGGTTGTCATAACATGTTAAGCCAAAATCCACCCAACAATATTATTTATTATGACTCAGTGTGCTGTGTGAATGAGGCCCCACCAACCCAGAAAATCCTGTGGTGCATTTCATGAGCACCTTGTCCGAGCCCCAATGTCATGTTGCATGCCATGATGTCACTGTGCAATGACATCGTGCAGAACATGATGTCATTCCCCTCTCCTCCACAGATATCCATGTCTTCTGTCATCCGTCCTGGATTATGAGATTTTGTCCCTTAATGTTTTTTTTCCAAATCCTCCTGGGAATGATTTGCTCCTTCAGATGACATTGATAGGGCAAGGTATACCTTGGCACAAACAGTTCATATGCGGAGTGCATCCTTCACCTGCAGAATTCATTGCCACAAGACATGATGGCCACTAACTGGGATGGCTCTAAGAGGAGATTGTACACATTCATGGAGGACAGGTCTCACAAGGGTGGAGACTCCATGTTACTCCCAGGTTGGGAGCATCATGCTTCCAAGCATCAGTTGCAGGAGAACGACAGTGGAAAAGAGGTCTAACCTCTTGTGAGAATCCCACAGGCATCAAGTAGGGAGAAACCAAATGCTGGACTAGGATGGGCCTTGGCCTGATCCAACAGGGCTGTTCTTAGGTTCCCTGGACTTCATTCCCGCAAGATATGGTGGTAGCCATTATCTTGGACAGTTTTTAACTAGAGATGGGATAAATTCATGGAGGACAGATCTATTGAGTGCCATCAGCCTTGAAGACTCCATGTGACCTCCAGGTTGGGGGCATCATGTTTACAAACATCAGCTGCAGAAGATCAACAGTGGAAGGGAGGTGGGTCTCCATCTCCTACTTGAGAGCCTCTCAGAGGCCCCTGTGAGAAACCAAATGCTGCACCAAGCCGGGCCTTGACCTGATCCAGCAGCGCTAGTCTTCTGATGCCTGGACGCAGCAAGTCTGTTGCAGACTCCAGAAGTGGGCAGGTTATTCAAAGGAGGTTCAGTGGTCTCCATGGTTGCAAGAATGCTGCAAAACCAGGGTTCTAGCTCTTCCAGATCACAGCTTGGGAGGCCAACCGTGTCAACACAATCCGTTGCCTGGCCACGGGACTGCTGCCATTGTTCCCACTCTCCTGGGAGCCTCTCCAGCTTGGCACAGCATTTTGGGCATTTCTGCAAAGCAAGTGCTTTCTCCTATGGCCTTCCCTTTCCTTTACTCCTGGTGGCATTATTCTGACAAGGAGGCGGTGGTCTCTGACCGCCACAAGGAAATCCCCTGTGAGGAGGAAGAAGAGGAGGACGATGAAATTTGCTGGTTTCTGGGAGAAATGCTGCTTTTTTACTGTTTGGTTGTTGTCGTTCTAAAACTCGGTTACTTTGGGGTGAACAGGGTAAGAGTCAGTGATTAGTTCTATTCTGATATTTGAGGAGAGGGTGTCAAGCCATAAAAATCCCACTGAATCAGACCAGCCATGGTGTCCAGCTTCCCATAATGGGCAACCGAAGGTGTCCAAGAAGGTCCACGCGTCCAGCCCTCAAAAGCCAAAGCCCGCTGCTATGGTTGCATGAATATGCAGATTGACTGCTACTGCACATGAAGGCTTATGGTAGCCATTATGATGAGTAGTCAATAGTAAGCCAATCTTGCCACCGTTCCTTTGGCACCCCCCAAAGTGAATCACCATGGCTGCAAATTTCATATCAGGAGCTGGTTCAAGTATTGCTCAAAGCCAGAGGCTGTGCTCACACAACATGCTAAGGCTATGGTTAATGGAACCATGGTTTAGGACGTTGTTTGAACACAGCCTGTGGCTTTGACTCCCCGACTCCTACATTCACATGACACTGAACCATAAACTGATCACATTGCCTGTTTTGCACACATCCCAGGTTAGAATGCAATTGACTAATTCATGGTTTAAAAAGCTATGCAAAACCCACTCTGTTATGGTTTGATTTTGTCCCAGCATGTAGTGTAAATGCAGCAACTTAGTTTGTAAACCACGGTTTATGGCTTTGTGTAATATGTGAACCTAACCTTGATGACTACATGGAACATACTTTTTTTTTTTCCTGGTAAGCCCTGAATCTCCTACTAACAAATGTAATTCAGCGACATATCTTAAAGTTGCCAAGGTTGAGAAACGCTGGTCTAGAGGACCATCTTTTAGAGCAGAAACGGAGAACCTGTGGCACTTTGTTTCACGTTGACCAAACTGCATTGCACACCCCTGGCCAACTTGGTTTGGGCCACTAACTAGGCAAGTGGCACAAGTCCTGAAGATGTTACATGTGCCATGATGTCACCGTGCAAGTGACAGGAGTTATGAGACTTGCCCAAGGATCTCTTGATCCAGGTGATGTCACTCCCACCATGGATGGCCGGGCTGCTGGGCACTGAAGCAGAACAACATTGGTCGCGCAACAGCTTCTCCAGCCCTGATGGAGGTTGGGCTTTGCTCCAAAGCACCTCTTTCCATTTTGAGGTGATTCCTGTAGGAGAAGGCTACCCCCAACTTTTAGACCCAAGGAATGTGTGTGAAAAGTATGGTAATGATCTATCTTCCTCCTTGTCGCTACGCATTGTGTATGTTTCTTTTAAACTGGATAACTCAGGTGACTGGTTTCCATGCTTCCCGGCACAGTTCTTCCTGAAACAACCCTGTGGAACTATGTCTTGCAACTGGAAAATCCATTCAAAAGGTAAACCATGATGCTCCTTCTAGTGGCATGCTTTATTCATTAGTTAACAAAGGATGTGGGGGTGGGATGGGGGGAACAGATGCTGAAGAAAGAAATGCATTCCTTCTGGGATGGTCTGACGTTTTGGGACAGCAAGCTAAGCCCAGTGGGTGTTTTCTCACATCCTACTTATCTCTAGTTAACTGGGCTGTGGCTTCATCAATTCACTCACTTTCCAGGGCTTGCTAGACACCCTAAATCAGTGTTCGTCAGCCTCAGCAACTTGAAGATGTGTGGACCCCTTCCCCATTACACCACCCTGCTTCTCCTTGTGGCTTAACATTGTGCATGAACCTCGTGTCTGAGACTTATTCAAGAAACCATGGCTAAACCAGACGATGGTGGGGTATGATCTGTGAACCCAATAACAATCTCTCCCCTCTGCAATGCCCTTCCTGCAAGTTGACTTACACCCTATTCATAAAGACGCTTCTGCCTCACTTCCTATTGGTATGTATCGTACTGCAAGAGGGCACTGAGAGGCGTTAAGAGGCCTCCACCCAAGACCATAAGTCAGTGTTTCTCAACCTCAGCAACTTTAAGATGTGTGGACTTCAGCTCCCAGAATTCCCCAG